GCCCCGTCATGCGGCAGTTCGTTTTACCGCTCGTATGTGAGAAGCAAGAGGACGGAGGAGGGCGAGGTGGCGGCGTCACCCCGCTGCAGGCAGCAGCGGTGTTACCGGGCCCGTGGAAGAGCAGCCCTCGGCTCCGGGAAGCAGGAGGTGCCGCAGCACGAACAGGCCTTTAGCGGAGCATTTCGTATGGAAAAAGCGAGGCGCCCTGCCCCGCGGCTGCGCGCCTCGAGCGGAGCGACAGGGATGGAGGGAAGGACGGACACAGGCGCTGCCAACGTCCCCGCGGCCGCGCGCCGCCTCGGCCCGCCCTGTCGCGCGCCCCGGGCCCCCACTCCCGCCGCGGTGCGGTGGCTGCCTGGGGGCGGCAGCTCTGCCCGGGGGCGCCCCCGCCCCGCCCCGCGGGCCGCCCAGGCGCGGCGCGGCTCTGCGCCGCCGCGGGCGATGTTTCCGCAGCAGCCCCGCGCGCTCCCGCCCGTCTCTGCGCCCAAGGCAGAGCACCGCCCGTCCCGCCAATAGCCAATGGGGTGCGAGCGCAGGCTCGCCCAGGGCCACCTCCGCCCGAGTAGCCAATGGGGAGCGAGCATGGCCCCTCGCCACGCCCCGTGGCGGGCTCTGCGGCGCGCGGGCGCTGCGGCGGCTCCGGGCCGGGGCTGGTGCTCCTTCCGGGGTCCTTCCCGCGGCCACCCCTGTGGTCACTCCTGTCACCGAGGCGGGCGGGCTCCGCGAGGGACGGTGGCGGCGGCGCCGGCAGGGAGCTAAGCGGTGAGCCCGGCTCCCAGCACCGGCCGCCGCGGGATCCCACGCAGGGCAGCGCGAGCGGGAGGAGCTGAGGTGAAGCTGAGGCGAGGCGAAGGGGCAGCCGAGGCGGGGAACTGGTGCGGGTGGGAGACAAGGCCCCTCTGCCGACCTTCTATTCCAGGTTATTTTTATTAGAATGTTGTTTGAAATTCACCACAGAAAAGCTGATAAACGCCCCTCCAGAACACACCATGCTAAAGAGAAGTAAAAAGTAATTTCAGCATCAGAACAAGTATCATCCTTTCCTTTCCTTTCCTTTCCTTTCCTTTCCTTTCCTTTCCTTTCCTTTCCTTTCCTTTCCTTTCCTTTCCTTTCCTTTCCTTTCCTTTCCTTNTTTCCTTTCCTTTCCTTTCCTTTCCTTTCCTTTCCTTTCCTTTCCTTTCCTTTCCTTTCCTTTCCTTTCCTTTCCTTTCCTTTCCTTTCCTTTCCCTCACAACTGCCATAGAGATAGTGCTGCTATATCAGTCATAAACTGATATCCCAGATGTGTCTGAAATCAGAACTCATGCTATAGCAGCAAACATGCTGTAATGGAAGTGGTCTGTGTAGTGCAGAAGATTGGCTTGGGCAGAGCACCAGCAGAGAGAAGGAAGCAAGATTGACAAGCTCAGCTTAGGTACATTTTCTGTTAACAGCAGCTGACGCTGTTAATTATTGGTTTCCAAAGGCTGAAAAGGTAATGTTTGAACTCCTTTCTTTTTCATTACATATGAGTTATATTTTGTAACTGTCAGGCTGAATAAACTTATATGGAATTACTGTATATCTAGAGCATGCATGTATAGGAGGACTTTTTCGGAGTTTGCTAATTAAATACTGGTATCTGGATGAAATCCATCATCTGGAGCATGAGCTGTATTTGAAGGAAGCTTACATTCTCAATGAGTAATACATTACTCAATGCCCATGGAATAGTTTATTGGAAATGGTTCTGTATTGCTGGCAAAAAACAGGCAAACAAACAAGCAAACAAAAAGTACCCTAAGATTTTTGCTGTATCAGAGTTGAAACAAAAGACTAGCAACACAATAAACTGTGAGCACTTTGTATCTACTTTTGATAGCCATAACTCAGCCTGTGACCTGACCATTAAATTGGGCTGCTTAGCCTAGTTAATGAAAATTTGAATGAGTCATTAACTATCTATGATCTTAAAGTAAGAGGGAAGAATTCCTTCAGTTATAACAGCGAAAAATTTTCTGGCCCTGGGTGAATTCCTGGCCCTGCTGAACTTCAAAGATTGCATAGAGAGAAGTGCTAAACAGTACTGCCAGCACCTTATGTGTCTTAAAACAGCTTATAATGGAACAATGGGCTATATTTCTAGCTTCTGTTCAAGGTACTAGTAGATGCCTAATGTATTCGTTTTCAATTTAATATATACCAGTAATCCAGAGAACTAAACAAGTAACTGATAGGCAGTGAGGGTACCCCTATACCCCAGCAGCAGAGTTGCTCTAGTGCATAAGCATCAGTTATGCTCTGAAAAGCAAATGCAGTGTTCAGGAAAAAAAATCCTAGAAAGTATAGAAAGTAGGCTGTTCAAGTTTGAATTTATAATACAATCCTTTTTTACTACCACTTTTCCCAGTTTTCAAAAGGCACTTAGATGTGTATTTTTTGTTTGTTTGCTTGTTTGTTTGTTCATCAGTGCATCTCATAAGCAGGAATGGGCATATTCCAGCTTGCTTGTGAAACAGTAAGCAAGTAAAGAAGCAATCTTTGGTCATCTCATTACTTTCTGATGCTGCAAGCTTGAGGAGTTAAAACCTAGTTGTATGCATAGACGTGTTTCAAAAAATACTAACCCTATTACATGTGGGTTCTGTGTGTTTGTGAGAAGGAGATAACATTAGTTCAAAAAATTCTGTCCTTTTAGGGCTATTATCTTGCAACCTGAACCAAGAGAAATTGGGAGAAAGCCCAATTGAAAACTACCCCATTTATTGTTTAGGGCAGGATCAGTTTTAGGGACGGTCTCAGGTGTCTCTTGAACCCAGGAAATTGCTTTGGCTAAGTCAGTAGATATCTGCTGTGAGAAATTATGTCTTAGTGTCCTTGGATTTGCTGCTAATGTCATTCTTCCACCTAAGACTGTCATAGGAGCAGACATTTGATCAAATGATCAACAGAGGGGGTTACATTTCCTGACCTGATGCTTGCAGAATCCCAGGCCCTACCTTTACATGACATCTGTAGCTCATCATCTGTGAACGGAGGGATGCAAATCTAACTCTTCTTTTGTGTACAGTATTCTGTCTCCCTTTCAGCTGGGGACCTGAAGCTAAACCAGGCAATTGTGCACTTGGCAGTTTCTCCTACATACCCAGCTGCTCTTGCATTTAGTGCACAGTTGTCTCACTGTTGTCGGATAGTCCAAGTTTGTGGTTGAAAAATTTACAAAGAGAAAGGACAGCCAAGTAAAAGAAAGCAAGAAGTGTCAATTAAATAGGAAACATGAAACAGCAGCACACTTTCCAATGCTGAAGTAATAGAAAAGTGATGTGAGTTTGAGTTTCTTTGGGAACAAGGAGAGAGGAACAATTCAATGGATGTATATTCCATACAAACAATGTGCACTGGAATGGACACATTTTCTGAAGTACCATTTCCTTCTTGGAAGATTCCATGACTTTAAAATGCACGGTCCTGTTAGAAGTCATGGACTATTTCACTGAAATGTATAATTTAGTTAAATTCTTCCACAGCATGCACACTTAATATGGAACATAAGAGAATATAATCACAACTGCATCAGAAATCTGATTTAGTAATAATAAGAGACATAGCTACTGTGTGGACATTACTAGCATGGCCTTTCTTTGTGAAAACATCTACTTGGGAAAAATGATTCCCTGAAAAAGCGAATTACTTGGAAAAAGCAAAAAAAAAAAAAAAAAAAAAAAAGCTCTTGATGTAATTAACTTATTAGCTTTCTCCATCCTTTCAGGCTATTTTAAAAAGATAACATTTTCTTATTAATAAATACGAAAAATAGAAAAATAAAAATATTTTAAAAAACAAACTATGTAAACACAAGCCCTGAGGTATTTCAGGAATACAGTGTATTGTTTATATCCCTCATACAATATATATCTGCCAGTACAAAATTTTACTTTATGGCTCTCTAAAAATGCCCTATGTACCTTTTCTGCCTTATGTCCACAATAAAGGGTGAGAGGCTGAGGTAAGAGCCCATGGAAGCTGTGATAGTCATAGAAGCAGAAACAGAGGATATTAACCCTCTGTTTTCACTCTTTAGCTGGCTGCCATGGACCAGTTAGTCAGATTCCATGGGATATCTGACAAAGCTGCTGCTTTTCTGGACACAGGCCCACTCCTGCACTAGCATATTTACCATACAGAACTCCTGCACTCGCACATTTACCATATAGAGAACACTGCAGGATAAAGGCACGTCTGAAAAAAATTATTGGCCCCATTTAACTCACTTATTCTCTCAGGTTAGCTTGAGAAGCTTAAACTTATTCTGCATGGTGATTAACTCATAAATGACTGTGCATCTTGCCAATTTTTCTCCTCTTCCCTGCTCTTCATTTAGGCTGGAGACCTTTGGGCATTTTTTTTCTCTCCCAGAGCTTTCTGCATCTGCATGAAGGTTACAGTCAAAAAAACAAACAAACAAACAAACAAACAACAACAAAAAAAAAAAATCCAGGCTGTACATGACAGTCAAGTCAACAGGACTACTTAAATGAATACAGGATCACAGGAGCAGGCCCTTAGAGTTTTTTTTTTTTTTTTTTCTCTGGGCTTTGGTAAAAATAGTTACAAGATGGATCATGGGTTTTATTTTTGGCAAAAGGGTTCAATATTGAAGAGTTTCAAGCTGTATAAGCTTGTGGATGTGTGCACTCTTGCACAATGAGACCCTGGAGGAATATTCATACATATATGTGCACACACCATGTATTTCATTTGCACATATTTACCTAAAAAGGTATTGAATAGACAGATAACTGCTTATGTGCATATCTATCTATAAGGAGAGATATATAGCTGTTTACACAGTATTTATGGATGTGTAAACTCCTAATTGCACATATATAAACATTAATAATGAAATTAGTTTTAGATGCCATTTTTTCATTAAAAAGGACATTTAAACACCCTCTCCCTTTTTTTGGTTCATTTCAGTTTTCCTTTAACTAATGGATTTTTTTGGCTCACCTAATGGGATGTTTTCTTTTCAGTATGTTAAAACACTAAATAAAATGTATTACAATTATTAAGTTGGGTAGGAAGAGCGCTTCTTGTAAAGTTTAGTGTGGGATCCCTGGGACATAGTTGTGCAGCGAGAATTTTAGATCATGTCTCTTGTATTACGGATGGCACAGCAGAGAACCATGCTGAATATCATGCCAAAGATCTAGAAGAGAAGGAATGCAATTTAGGAAGCCACTTACAAAAGAATTACAAAGCAATATCTGTATCAGAACAATCTGAAGGCTCTCATCACTAGATAGCAGGCAACTGCTTCTGTCTACATGCCTCACATGTAGACAGACACCTGACAGACACCTGACAATTAACATGAAACAGGCTTCGCAGATACTCAAAAGCCAAAATTTTATCTGCCCACACTGGTTTACTTATATTCTAAATGTTGTGGCTGGTGGAACAGCTCCCAAATATTAATATTCTTAACATGAGTTGTATTGCCAAGAATAATTGTGACTGTTGGCTTTACACCTAGTACTGTACCAAGAAGTTCTATGTTCCAGAATGGTTATATCTGGAGTAGCATAAACATTTCTGAGTAAGAGCAGAGAATCATTCCAGAGGAATCAAGTCTATGGAGTTGGTGTTGAGCATTGCAGTTTTGCAGAGAAGCCTAAGTTCTTAACAGTTGCTATGCAAGATCATACCTTAAATACCGAAGTGTATTCATTGTATTCATGTTAGGGAACAGTTAACTGGATGTTAAAAAATGATTAACTAATGTTAAAAACAGAGAACAGTGGCTGTTGCCAGAGTCTCCAAAAATTTCTTTTTGCCACGGGTTTATTCTCCAAAGCAGAGTTAGCAGTTACTTCTAGAGGCCTCACTGCTGATGATGGGAGATGGTCAAGACTAACATGCAGTTAAGTTAATGAGTCACCCCCCTTCACACATACCCTCCTAAAAAAGAAAACAGATAGCTGACCAGCCATACTCCATTTGTTAGAAACTCACGGAAAAATGTAGGGACATGTTTCTGCTGTTAAAAGAGGGTATAATTTCACAACTTTTACTGTAAGGTGGGAAGGCATAGATCAGATGCTCGTATTTCCAGTGTATCCTTGAGGAGTGACCAGACTATCAGAAATTTTTCACTTGTGTTCCTTTGTAATTTTGAGTACAGAACCACATTAAAAAATCACACCTGAAGTGATCTAGACTTGTTTAAATCCTCTTTACCCACTCTATGTATCAACCCTTCATCTGCTTTGAAATGTCCACCCAATGTTCAGGTCAGCTAGAAGTGTATTACTTTACAGTTCTTCAAGGTCTCCATGCTCTTGCTGATTTCTGAATCTTCAGGCTCTCCATGCTCCTGCTGATTCCTGAATCTGAATGAAGTCATGGCAAACTCTTTGGAAAATGCTTTCTCTTAAATACTACATTTGATATAGGCTTTCCACTCCTGCCACATCCCTGCAGCAGGGTGATATCTATTGGTCACAGCTTCAACACAAAGGAGCAAACCATCGGGAAACTGGCAATAAGAACTTGCAGCAGAAGGGGCAGTGCAAGGAAGATAGATGCTTTGGTGATATCAATAGATAAATGAGCTACTTTTAACCTGGTGCTGTAAATCTAGATGAGAAACTTCAAAGTTTAAATTCCATTCCTTTAGCAAGATCCATACGAAACTGATAATTGGAGAGGGAATTATGAAATTTAAGGAATGGATATCTCAAAGAGCCAAAAGAATTAATGCTTGTAATTGTTTTGGAATAGATAAAGTGCCACTATAGCATTTTGCTTTTCAATTCACTCCAGGTATCCACATCTATCCAACAATAACAAAATGAAATTACCATTAGGTATTCTGGAGTGAACCTAAGGACACAAAATGAAACAGTAAACTGGAATTCACTCAGATTTGTTTGCACAATTGTAAGCAATTCTCAGAGAGAGGACACACTGAAAGTGATAAAAATAGCTTTAGTTTTGAGGAGTCTCACCATCTGATGCAAAACATAAATTGGACAAAATATCTTTGAATGAAGGAGAGATTTCTGTGCTCAAATTTAGATAAAGAGAGTGACAGCATGGATATACTCACTGTGATGCCAGCAATTGCAATTCCAATAATTCCAACTAAGTGCAGATGAGCATCAATTACATTCTGGATTTCAACCAGGCAGTTCTATTAAAAACAAAATTAAAATATTTTTATTCCTGGAAAGATATGCTGCAAGCTACTCTGTCAACTCTTTTCACTAAGCAACAGATGAACATGAAAAGGCTATTGGAGTCACTATCCTAAGTTTTGTTTCTATGCCTTATGTTTTGTTGGACAATTTTCATAGCATATTCTTTTTTCTATTTTCATGTATTTTTGTTTACTCCTTGCCTGTACAGGTCAATATGCTCAAGTCATCTTTCAATCAGTTTTCCCTAAATTTAAAACTCTTTCACTATCAAGGTTTGCCAAATCAAGAAGTTTTCCCCTTCGGATTAATGTTGAGCCTACAAGCAGATTCCAAAAAGATAGAAACAACAGTATCCTTTTGCACAACAAGAAAGCTTTCAGTTAGGAGTCCCTAAGCATGGGACAGGCATTTGCCAAATTTCAGTTTTCATGGGGCCTTTCCTTCAGGACTTATATTCTGCTTCAGGACTTTATACATCCCATTTTGTTTTTCAGATAATATAATACGGTCACTCCTACCACAGGATACCACAGGAGCCTTCAGAAATGAGGACTGGACATGCTTAATACGACCTCCAACTTGCCTTTTACCTCCACTGTGCTCCATATGGAAATTCCGTGCCAGAATTTGCAAGGTACAAAATATGCAAGGCCACAAAACTCATGTGATCCGGATGCCACTATCTGTGGTATCTTGTTCCCTATCATCAGGGGAATTATTTTTCAAAATATGACATGTCTATAGGAAAGGCTTTAGAAAAAAATGGATCAGAGGACACTTGCCTTTGGCATCTGGATGGTTTCTGGACAGGGTAATCCCTTTTCTTGTTCCATACTACCTTTACCACAACATTGTAGCTATGTAAGAGAGAGCAGGAGGGGGAGAAGAGTCAAAAGAAGGGAGAAACCATAGTTTTGTTTCATACTGAAAAGCAACAATGTAGATCAAGTTGAAACTTAACCTCTATATCACTGGCTACCTTTGGCACAGTTCCAACCGCAGAACAAAATTCTCAGAAATTAATTTCAAATGTCAGAAGTCACAATGAACAAATATGTATGGGGGAAAACTTCCAGAAGGATCATGAAGGATGATCATAATATCTCAACAAAGCACTTGAAAGTGCAGATTTTTGGCTTCCAAGAAAATAGAAGTTCTTAAATAGAGAAAGCAGAAAGTTCAAAAAGCACACGCAGTAGAATGGGCAATATATGAGATCAGCAGCAGAGTATGCTTTCTTTCAGATAGAATGCTGGTTTTGCCAGGTTTGGAGATGGTGAGAAATCAGGGCATTTTAGAGGGTTTGTTTGTCATGTTTGCATATCTCCTACAAAATGCTTGTAATTCCTTTTGCAACAACCATGGGAGAAGGACCATGGGAGAAGTGTCCAAAATTGTGAAATATTTGTTATAAAGAATGTGGGAATGCTGTAAAGAGCAACAAAGGAGCTTGATCTGTGTGGGAGGCAATGTTAACAGATAAGGAACTCAAGTGGGATTCAGGAAGTTACAGATTGATGTTAGACATTAACTTTCTGGGTGGCCCCAGCTGAGTCTTATTATTATTATGTGCTTTTTGTTCTTTCTCTGTGTAGTGCCGTTAACAACAGGATTTGCCATTATTATTGTAGGGTCTGGGACACCGGACACAGCTTTTTCTCTGACAAAGGCAGAGATGGACACTGATGTTTCTACTTCTCTCCGTGTTTGAGTATTTATTCTGGGGCTTCAAAATCCAAAAGAGCGTTAGTAGTCACATCTTTTGTACAAAGACTAGAAGGACTAGCTCAAATTTAAAAGCTTGGCCATTTTCACTTTCAAAGGTAGAGATTGCCTGAGATCTGAAGCCCAGTTATAGCTATCAGGAAACACAGTTATAAGACTCTGGATTCAGTTTAAGCACCTCTGTGTTCTATTCTTTTATTTCTCAGTTGGTGACATTCTGAATTTTAAAAAATACTATGAAGCAGAAAATAGGACAAAATATTTAAGCTCAGGAGGAACTTAAATCATTACTCACAGCTGAATGGTAGCGATAGATAGTTCCATTCACCTTTTCTGGATTTTTCATATAGTCATCATAAATGTCTTCATATAATTTCTGGGCTTCCTGTATTACCTGCAGATATCAGACTTTTCAAGTGAGAGGCAAGCAAGTCTTAACAGAAATCCAGTGCAAACTTTCAGTTTGTCATCAACTTCCAGTGCAGGAAATTATTTCTGGTAAACTGAGGCAGACCTGATGGGAAAGATTGGGCTTTGGGGGCCCAATGGCATTCAGAGGGACTTCAACTAATGAGTTTCTAGCAATTTTACCAAAATGTAGAATACAGTGTCTGTTGATTCTGCCTTGTGAAGTTCACTGCTGGGTCTAGCTGCACTTTTCCCAAGTTATACCCCCTTATATAGTTCTGCTTGATGTTTCTTTTGGACATAATGCTTAATGCACCTATAGATTTCCTTTAAAATAAGGAGTGGAAACTGCATCTTGTTTTGAAATGGGACTTGTGAGAACGCAAACTTTTTGTTGACTACAGATAAGAAGGTCATAGGATCTTCCTGGGAACAGTCTCCTGGAAAGCTTTCCAGTGCATGGTCCACACTGTAGACCAGTTGTTCATGGGAATCTGGTACTTACAGTAGAAGTAGATTGTTACTCACCCCTTGTTTGCCTATAAAGGTAAATACTCCAGCAGTGACCTCAGCAGCAAATATCACCAATAAGCAAGCAAAAAACTGCAGAGGGAAAAGAGAGCCTTATGTTAATTTACTTAGCACAGTGTGCTTTATGTGGACTACCAGTCAATCCCTCATCCTTGTCCAGGCCTGAACAGCAGACTCGGTAACTGATAGGGCAAACTGGTAAGCAGAATCAACGAGAAGGATGTCAAGTGAGAATTCTTGTAATATGGAAGCAGATTTGAAAAAGAAGTGGCTTAGATGGTAGTTTCAAATGTTAAATTAGCCATTAAAAGGACATGAGACTTCTCAGATCATTGTGAGCAAAGATCTTTCCACTAATAACACAAAATATAGGTTTATGCATGATCTTCCAGCACAGATGAGGCCCTTGAAACCTTTTACTTACTGCTCCAAGTAAGCATTGAGACTCCCGCGCTGCTCCACAGCATCCAAAAAATCCAACTGTAGTCATCAGAGCGCCTGCTCCCACCAGTACATAGAGTCCTATGGAAAATCAGATTCAGACAGGAGTTTAAGCAGATTTCTCTTTCCAATGCCTGCTCTCTATCTTGTCAAATCCACACATTTGCATTCAAAACAAGTGAGTCTACCTCTAATGAAGACTATCGCAGATGCACAGAAATGTTGCTCTCACCAAAAAAGGAGCCAGTGATTTCTTCAGAATTCTTGGGAAACCTCATAAAGACAAATTAGAAGGCTTCCACCTCTCAGGTTTCCTGTCCCAAGAGCAGCTCAGTCCAGGAGGCACATACTCCAAACCGTTCAAAATTACTTAACTCCTCAGTGAGGCATAAAGGCGAGAAAATCCAACACTACTGTTAGAGGACTTGGTTATATTTTGAAACCAGAGCTGAAAATGTGCTGCAATGCTATACAGGGACAGTTTAGTAAGCTGCATGGCAGTGGTACATAACAGACCTTAGCCAGCTTCTTCCTGGGACTATGTTGCTGAAAGGATTTGAGGATTCTGACCAAGTGGGTTGTATGCATGTAGAGAAATGTACTGAGACAAAGTCCAACAATCATCAGATTAAATGCATTAGGAGTATAATGAAGCTATCTGGGAAGCAAAGGCCAGGCCTGAAACAAATATAGATCATGAAAGTTAGCAGTATGCCCCTGCACACCGGAGACCCTCATTTTGTTCCAAACTAGGCAGAACAGAGACTATAGAGGGTAAGGGAAATAGCACTCATCTCTGGCACTCTACTGCTGCTGCAAATACACAAGCCAATATTATTTTAGTATTGTCTCTTTTCAGGACAAAAGGAAACTTGAGCATGAAATTCTTATTTCCTGACTTGGGAATGTAAATTGCTTCATCTATTCTTATACAGTACACACCTTTGCATGTGGCATCAGCCTCTGTCAGACCACAAGAACTGTTTGTGCATTCTCAGTGCAGTGCCAGACAAAAGGTTCTGTGCAATGTCTTTTAATTTTGATCTTCATCTTTTGTGGGCAATAAAAAGGACACACAGAGACTTGCCATGCCTGTCTACTGCTAGAAAAATGCACTGCGTTTCCCTCCCAAGCCATGAGAGGACAGTGGCGCCACAGACTGTGCATGCTAGCATGCACAGCACATCCTACTCTCAAATTTGACCATGCAAATTTCTCATGAGAATGTTTAGTATTTTCGAATACATTGTTTTAAATATTATTTTTTTACTCTAACCCAAAGATTTAGAGTTAACAGAGCAGCTAACAGGTCATGTCCAATCTTGACTAGAAAACCCCCAAATTATAATTTGCAATGATTGCTAAGAAAATAGAAAAAAACCCAGCAAATTATAAATATGTGAGTGTAGGGGATCTAACTACCTATATGCACAGAAAATTATATTAACTTGCCCACCGTTTATCATGAATTTGGACTTCCTCACAGCTGCAGCTTGCTTGAAGAAGGCAAGTTTCTTCCTGGCCTCTCATTGTGTAGTCACTGTCCAGTCACGGGATATCACTCAGACGTCTATTCCACCTCTTGTGATTCTTCCCCCTCCTCTTCCTCCTTAAACTGTACCTTCCTTGTAGCAAGGATTGCTAGTGAGGAGTAATATCTTTATACCAATCAGCTAATAATACTGATCAAATAATTTTAATTCATATGGCTTTGGCAGACCTATGATGACCAGTTATTGGGATTTGCTGCTGAATGTGCTGATGCATCATATTCCCTATTTTCCAGAATCTTAATATTCAGCACCTCATGATCTGAGCATTCTTCAAACTAATGCTTGTACACATAGCACAATGTAGTTGCTTTTGCAGAGGGAGGCCTGCACAAAGATGTATGTGGGTCAGGATAAAGGTTAGACCCTGTGGAGGATGAACTGGAAAACACGCTAGTTGCAGCTTCTCTCAGAAGCAGCACCTCCTGTTCATTTGGCATATGCCAGAACTGTCATTTTGAAATTTTAATTGTGACAAGCACTATGTAATTATGAAGATGTTTCTTGCGACTTTTTTTGAATGTCTCTTCCTACTCTGTCCCTGTAGTTACATATTATGCAACGTAAGAGACTTTTCTGTTAAAAAGATTTTTTTTCTGAAGAAATCTTTCCATTTATTTTTTTTCTCCTAGCCAGAGAAGACAAAGTTCTTTGAGGCTCAGGGCAAGACCACTTTCAGGAATTCGAATTTGCTTCTCTGAGAAACAGACTTAGCATTTCACTTGCATGACTCATTGTTAAACCTCTACTTCAATCAGAACTTCCCTTTTAAGGCGTGTCACAGGAAGATCTTCTCACTCTACTCACTAAACAAAGCAGAATTTGCTGCGTATCCTTGACCCATAGTTTGTCAGCCAAAAGTTTAAAAACCACCTCCTTCCATTTTCTATTTGTGAGAGTTCATTGCAGAGTTTGCCCTTTCTCAGCCTAGGACTAGTAATTCCTCATACTCTCACAGAGCTATTTCTAACTGCAAAATACTGAGGACGCTTTAAAAAAATGCACAAAGCTAAGGGTGTTTATAAATAACCTCTACATATGTATACACACACACACACACACACACACACACACACACACATACACGAAGGAGGCACTTTAAGAACTGCTTGAAAAAAATTAAAGGGAGCAGTTTACTTCTCACTTTGCACTGAGGATTGCTAGTCCCGAAATCCAGATGTGATCAGATGTGATCAGCTAGAACATGCTTTTCTGGAAAGATATCTGAAGAAAAGATTCACAGAGATGAAAAACCATTCACAGAGAAGGTTTTCTCCAAAATCTCACTGAGAGCTCTGAAATACAAGTTCACATCCAGTCTATTGAAACAAGCAGGAGGAGACAAAGGCACAGTGTCCCTCGGTCTGGCTTTATTTGACATAGATTCCATGTTTACCTGGCTGTTAAAGTCACATTTTCCATTTTAAATAGTTCTGCTCTTTCTTTTTTTGGGCTGAGCAACCAATACTGAACAAACCGCCGACTGTTCATACTCCACCAAGGAAACAAGCAGCTCTGTTCCTGGCATAAGGGACCCAGAAACAGTGATGATAAGTCCTAGAATCCAGACATGAGTTGAGGAGATTTTCCTGAGGTTGTGTATGAATTACAATCTCTGAGGCAATTGTGCACCTCCCTAGAAGAACTTAGGCTCTGAAACCCTCAGTTGAATACCAAGAAACAAGTAGTGCAAAAGCATGGATGAGACACACATGTAGGAACTGAAAATAACAGGCCAGACAGGATGCTAGGGCGATCTGCAGCTGCCTAGAGAAAAGGGTGAATCTGAAGTGAAACTAGGAAATGGCAGAACTGCCAGTTCAACTGCCGTTGCTCTGTGCAACAGGCTAGGTTTAATAGCTGAAAAGGAAGGGAGTGAGATGGGAGAAAGGTGAAGACAATTTAGCAGGCAAAAAGGATAAACACATTATCATGTTTTAAGTGACTCATTATCATGTTTAAGTGACTCATTAAAAATTAAATGCCTCCTGATTCTCAGCATATTGCAATCAAAAAGCACACAATCCAAGACAGTTGGACAGATTTTTCTGCTTGGCTGGTCTTGTTAGAACCAAGCTACATTGTGGTAGCTTTAGCTTATACACTTTCAGTGAGAATACTGGCTTTTAGGAGCTACTTCCTAGGTCATGGGATCCAGCACAGAAACTGAGGACTTTGATCAACATTAACAGCTTTTGATGAGGCGTGTTTGGTTGGTTGGTGGGTTTTTTGTTTGTTTGTTTGTTATTTGTTTAAAACAATTACCAGTGCAGCAGCTTTTTTATATTTTTTATTGTTTTCCAGTACAGAAATTAATGTCAGTCTCTTCTATGCCTCCCTTCCTTAACTGCAGAAGAAAGGATCTGCACACAAGATGAGAGGAAGAAAGACAGATTATTTCATTACTTAACTCTCAAGTGCAGACTAAAAGTGTCTGCAAGGTACCCCATATGATGGCAGGATTGCTTGATGTGCTACTTCTGGTATTGCACGTCTGCACAGAGGCTATTTTGCAAAGTTGATAGAATTTATAGGGCTACGGATCTTGGAAAGAGAATATTACTGACTGAGAGTGTAGTCCTTGAACCCTATGTTCAAGATACCTATAACAGATCCAGGCACAGGAACAGAAAAATGTAGAGAATTCATATGGACTTAACTGCTGGCAAATTCCTGTTTATGTGGGTACCTATTACTATGGAGAAAAAAATACTAATATCTTTCAGGTCCAGACATGATTTCATATCCTGAGGCATTCACCATCTAAATGCACCTTTCAAAGCCAGAAGGATGACTCATGCTCCCAGAGTCTCAAGGAAAACGTCACAGCCATCCTGAAAATTCTGCCCACAATTGGTCTGTCCCTGATGAATGCCTGGGCCACAACTTGTATCAGGGAACCAGAGCAAAGACAGTGTAACATAGGAGAAAGATTGTGAGCTCTGGAGGTGCAGGAAAAACAGTTCTTCAGTGCTGACAGCTATGAGTAAGATCAGGACTAGTAAAGGAACTGATTAAAAATCAATTAGCTTTGAGAGAGTAATGCTGACATCTTGGGTTCATACAAACACCTCTTTTTCCCTCCTCACTGCTGTATGCTTTTCCTACCCAGTAGAAACTCACTAGAGTCTTGGCACAAGAGTCTTAGGAAAGAGGAAGAATCTAAGAGTATTCCCTTTTTTCTCTACAGATCTTTGCTATATGTGGTCAGCGCAGTGTCACAGATAACTCAGGTGAAACAGGAGACTGCCCAGCTAATGACTTTTACTGTAGTTATCTTTTTTTTTTTTCCGAAGACCGATTGTGAGAGAAATATATATAAAAATATAAAATCTATTGGAGCTGAAGTGCAAGACAGGAAAGTTGCCATTTTGCCTCATCACTTTGAAGCACAGGCACGAAACATACAAATATTGTTATATCACCCACTACACTGGGATCTTCAAAAGCTGGGGGGCTACAGGGAGAAAATTACAGGAAGCCGCTCCTTGCATGCTGTTAGAAACTCAACTTCAGCTCCAGCGTGGGATACACTTAGTGGAACAGTGGAAGACTGCATGGGACAAAAGTTTCCTGTTCCACACTTACTTGTTTTAAAACTGCTAACTACCCTGAGGAGTATAGATCACTGAACACAGAACCATAGTCGACAGAATGCTAACGACACGTGTGTGCTTGACTTTGGCACTGCTGCACGCAAGTTGTTCTCAAGAAGACATTTCAGCGGCTGGAAAATATGAACAGGCTTTGTTGGTAAATTTTAGTAAACTATTTCAGGGGGCAGACAGACAGATGCACTGCTGGTACGAGACAAGGCTGTTTGGGGAAAATTATTCTGGCTCGGTGGAAAATGCAAGGATGTAATTATCGATTATTTTTAACTAAAACAAATTTTCAGGTCCAGAGGAAGGAAAAAGCACAAGTAAGCTCAAGAAAGAAATTAGTTGTATATAGTGGGCAGGTCGATTGAGGTAGGAAAAGAGCAGAATGTGCTGTTCTTTGAAATTGGGAAAAGGAGATATTATCTGCAAGATGGTAATCCTACACAGTGCTTCTGCCTACAAATCAAACTCTGAATGTAGCTGAAGGTTTCTCCAGACACTGCATTTGAGCTGATCTCATCAGGGGCATGAGATATCATAAAGCAGCTACAGAGTTCAGTGAAACAGAACTACAGAATTATTTTGAAATGTATGGACATGAGTTTGTATCTCCAAGTAATATGGACGATCTGCTTTCTCTCTCAACCCTCTAGGCAGCTGTTGCTTGTGTATTGCAGACTTACTCTATATTAAGCATTGCTATGCAAAATCCTGGCTGTCACCCAGAATGCCTGGTACAGAAAAAAACACACTGCTGAATAAACAAGATTCCTAGAAGCTCCTTGAGAAGGGCCCAATGTACAAATGTCAAGGGAGACTCACACCTGGATTCTACAGAGAATCCATACAGAAGAATTTGAGCATGACTGTGAAGTGTAGCTTTGTCTGCTGCAAAAAGGCACACTGGCACTGAACTTGTCACAGTTGTTGTACCACAGCTGTAGTCAGAGATCATGAACAGCCTCAAATTTCTGACAGCACTGGCTGCCCCATCACACACTCAGAAGTCACAGCAGCATTTAGTGTGATTAGTTCTGATGAAGTGGAGCAGACCTTTATTTTGTTTTGTTTTTCTTTAGCAGGCATACTCCACTCAGAGCACATTGTCTATTATGAGAGAGAGACAATATTTGCTGCAGAGTTTAGCCAAGAGTGCAAATTCAAAAAAAATTCATCATATTTATGTCCTATTCCTCAGCACTTCCTCTGCTGGTGGTGACACATTACAGCGTACAGCTCTGTAAACACCTGTGAGAACTAAAATCAGATGTGACCAATACCACCAACTCTCTGGACTTGGGGAGCTGGTCAATTCCTGCCTAGGCTGGATGAACAGTTCCTGAGAGGACCGAGCAGTGCAGTTTTTCTTTTCAACCATGAAAGGGTTTGCTCTGATTCTCAAACCCACACCAAGGGCCTCTGTGTGCAGACACAGGGAGAACTGATGAGCAAAAGTCTTGCTGTGGTGCTGGTAGTGGAAGCATTCAGAAGGGACACTGCACCATTGTTCTGCTGGCTAACAGCTGCACAGGAGCTCTGGAAGAGTACGTTGGTGAACCCTATCTCACACCACTCTCAACTTCTATTCCAACAGTATCTAAACAATTCACTTGTGAAATCTTATGTAAGGAGTGGCTGAGAGAAGAGTTCAACTAGGTCTAAGGAAGCTGATGCCAAGTAGAGAAATTGTGGTACAGGGGGCCACAATGCCCATTTCTGTGCTGTTCAAGTCAGGATTTGTTTGCCTTCATTTAACTTAATATATGGTGTGTGTTGCATGCTCTAGAATGAAAGCAAGCCTGGCAGCTGTTGCCAACACAGGCACTGTAACTTACCCATGAAGAAATACTCTGGAGATCTTTTGTCCGAAGCAAACTCTGCCATAACCCCACCAAACCGCAGCCATAGACCAAAGGCAATGACAGCCAATCCTGCCATCTGGAAAATAAATAGACCAGTTATACTTTAATGCCAGCTGGCTGGAGGGCATCGAGGAAGGGCCACTGGAGCTTTACATTCTTGAAACCCTGCAGCTAACGACTGTGCTAACAGAAAATTCAGCAACCTCTCGCTAGTATTTGAAATAACAGAATTCATATTACAGAGCAATGTGCATCCTTCTTTCAGCTCAATTCTCTGGTGATTTTCAAACCTTATAAATAAGCTCTTCTAGTCATGAAAACTTGGCCTTGAGTTGAGGTTGGGAGTTGGAACAGGGTGGGAGGTGGGGAGTAAATGAACATGAGAAGAACAGAGAAGCTGCAAAATCAGGTGGATGCACTCTGCCCTCCTTCCTAACCCCCAGCACTGCATTGTGGCCATCCAGGGTGCAGAAGGCAAGGGCCTGGATTGAAGACAATGTTCTGTAGTAAAACCCCTGTCCGGTGAAATGCTGCCTGCCCAGCAGCTGAGCCCTGTTGGCTTGACACACAAAAATTTTAGGACAGGAGTAATTTCACTGACTTTTTCCAACTCCCATTGTTTTTCTAGGGCTATATAGCAGCCTTTTGGGCCAAGTCATACCTTCTCCCCTGAATGCATTACTGTTTCAGCTCCATGAAAGTCATGAAATGGGTAATGTTGTGGAGGCACCAGCTGGACCTCTTAACTCATCACCATACTAAACTGTAGGTGACAGTCGGGCCATTTCAAAATTGATGCTGCTGTTGGATTGTGAGAAGGGTTCTGATTACAGGCTTATCCAGAAAGAAAGGAGAAGTCTGTATTGCTCTTAGAGAAGTTAGGCATGTTTGACAAATTATGACAGGATATTTCTTTCTATAAAACACTGTTGGAATCCCTATCAGAAATAGGATGTAAGAGGATTGTAATATAGAGTACCTTGGGTCACAGAAATGTCTGACAAAGAAGTGACCGATGCTGTAAAATGCAAGGAAGAATTCCCTTAAATGCAAACAAGTCTAGAACAAAAAGGAGTGTCAAGACATGTCAGATGAGGGGATGTAGGCAATGATCTCCAACCCGTCATGTGCTAGGCACATTTATCAATCTACCAGGCAATGGTGTGCGTGCTGGCAGACAGTTTAGGCATCTTACAGGCCAGGTGCGATGCTCTCCAGCTCTGCTGCTGGGGGCCTAGAGCCTAATTCTGCAGCTACTGTCCGACTGGTATGAGCTTCACAAAATACTTGCTTATCACATCCTTAGCAGCTTGCTGTTTTGTTGTTGTTATCTTGAGTCTGTTTTGTACTTCCCTGCACTTGATTTAGCTAGCATAGGCACAGCAGACAAAGAAGGCAGGAAGGCATATAGCCAAACAGTTCAGGATCACAGCTTTCTTCACTGGAAGTGAAAAACTAATTGAGCTGTGGCTCAGAGAATCGGAGTCTCTCCGAGCCTGGTCATGGCTCTGGGAAATCGCCTACTGCAAACAGGGTCTCAGCCTTGGGACTGTCAGAGCACATTAGCCAGACTTCTTGGTGACTCTAGTAGCTTTGACATGTTTGAAATCAGTGCTTGAATCTGACTGAGGGGATGGTTTCTTCCTTCTCAGTGTAAATAGAGATAACAAAACACAGTAATTGGCACTTCTGTGAAGCAACATAACACAAAGCTTTGTCCTTCTTCAGCTGCAGCTGAGCAATACCACTCTGCTCACAGAGCTTGAACAAGCACAGCAGCGCTCTGTCCTTGGAGCTTGCAGTGCTGTCACGAAAAGGGAAAAGCATTTGTTTTAACTGGGTTTAAACCATAAAGGATACAAAGTCCCCAAACTGCTTGCTCCAAAGAGGCCAAACAGGAATATGTTACAACTTTTGGGTTTTTTTTTTTCGTTTCTTTTAGACAGATCATCAGATGGAAAGGGGAAAAAAAAAAGGCATTAATCTCCTCCACACCACATTTCTGATTATTTTCTAATGTGAAACTGAAAAGTTTACAGTTTCTAGTGTGAAATGGGCAGTATGGGGAAAAATGAAAGAAAGAAGTAAGGTAGAATGAACTAAATTGTGCTATGGCACTGTGACTGTTAAGAAGGTGTTATAAATGGGCATAACATTCTCTGATCTCCTGAGATCTTGCAGTATATAGAACCACAGAATAGTTGGGGTTTGAAGTGACTGGAATCCTCTGATCCAGCCCTCCTACCTAAGCAGCATCAGCTGGAGCAATAGAGCACTGTTTCTGTGGCACATTAGAGTAGTGCTCAGCACAGTTCAGCATTATGCAAGGACTTTGTCTCTTGATGCAAGTTTGTAAAAGTAGAAGCTGTTGGCTCACTGTTTGAAACTGCATTTTTAAAAGGAACTTGGTGGTGTGAAATAGTGTTCACTGCAACATGCTGCTTGAGATGCTGGGAGTCCTTTAAGGGCCTCCTGTTGTTTGAAAATTTATACTTTTGGGAAAGCAGTCACCGCTTTAAACTGTTTTAAGAAAGAGGTTAACTCTGCTTAGCACTGTCTTCTTGTATCAAGTGTGTACTCTCCTAGAGATGCATCTCTATGAAAGGGAGTGGATGCCGACAGTGCTGGCAGGGCGCTTCTGCAGTGCGAGCCTGGGCAGCCTGCTGCGCCACGCTGCCCTGCGGCTCCCGCAGAGCCCCGCGNNNNCACAGCCGCGGCGCCAGGCCCAGCTCGCCGGGGCCCGCGTGCCGGTAGCGCTCCATGCTGCGGGCCAGCGCCGCCTCGCGGGGACGGAGCACGCGCCTGCGGGAGCCGGCACGCGCCGTCACACACCGCGCCGTGCCATGACGTGACACACCGTGCCATGACGCACCACGACACACCACGCCGTGACACGGCACAACGCGACACACCATGCCGTGCCCCGCGCGGTACCTGTAGAGCGCGAGCAGCGGCGGCCAGAGCGGGGGGAAGAAGGCCTCCTCGATGCACGCCTGGCTCTGCTCGCGGCACGGCGCCGCGCACAGCCCCTCGAACGCCAGCAGCGCCAGCGCCAGCAGCCTGTCTGGGAACGCAGGCGTTTGGCAGCGCGCTTGGAGGGGGGCGCACACGGGAGCCCCACTGCAGCACTGCCCCATGTCCCTGCCCCACAGCCCTGCCCCTTCCCCAACCACCCTGCATCCCTGCTCCAGGCACCTCCCAACCCTGCCTGTGTCCGGGCCCCTTCTCTGTCCCATGTCCGTGCTCCGGCCATCCTCATTCCCGGCCCCTTGTCCCCTCAGTCCCATGTTCCTACTCCCTGTCCCCACCCCTGCCTGTCACCCCCACAGTTCGGCACGGCCGGGGCCCCCCTGCACCCCCTGCACCCTGGGTGACAGAACCACGGTGTCCCGGCCAGGACGTGGCAGTGACCAGACGGCGCATGGGGCTCCCGCGGCAGGGACGGAGCCCCCRCGTGTCCCGCGGCAGCCGCTCACCGATGGCGTCGTGGATGTCCCGCACGATGCCCTTGAGCTGCTCCTGCAGCGCGGGGGGCCCGGGCGGCGGCGGCGGCGCGGGGCAGCCCTCGGGCGACGCCAGGAACCGCTCGAGGTCCTCGAAGGAGCCGTCGCGGGGCGGCGCGGGGCCGGGCCGGGCGCCGGGAGGCAGGTGCGGGGCGGGGCGCGAGGGCTGCAGGCGGGGGCAGGGGCGGGCGCAGGCGCAGACCTTGCCGGCCTGGCCCCCTCCTGAGCCAGCTGCCTCGCTCCCTGTGCCTTGGCCGCGCCGCTTCCAGGCCGAGACTTTCGGTAAGGCGCCTGTGTTTTACACATGCTGGAATTAAACATCATAAGCAAGATGGAAAATTCAGTGTGAGAAGTCCCAGGATAGTAGGAAAAGGGTCTTCCTCTTTAAAATTATTTTCTGCCCTTCAGTTAAGGGATGGGCATCTTGTCAAGAGTAGATGGAAGAATGCTGAAGGTACTCTGTACACTCAAAACCTTAGATCTCATTCCTCTTACAAATTTTTCAGCTGCTGTTTCCTTTCACAGAGTCTTTAGAAAGTCAGAGACTGAAGCTGCCTGCAAGTCTCTTCCAGGAAGCACAGTGTGAGGTCAAATCTCTTGAGAAGTGGGTTTTCTACGTTAAAACATTTCCTCTCGATATTTAACAAGTGAATGTCATTTCTGGTTCAATATACCAAAGTATATTGCCATCTCCACTGGCAGAGGTCTGAACCTTGGAGCACGGCACAGTGTCTTGCCCCTAAAACTCCAGCTACCATCTGCCCAAGACAAAACCTAGAACAAAAAACAACTATGAAGTTAAACTGGAATTAGGGAAGTAACTGTACTCAATATTGACTTCTATTTGCCTTTTCCTGCAGCTTTCTTCTCAGAAGTGATGCTAGGAACAAAACAGAAATCATTATTCAGGCCTTAGTAGGACCACATACCTTCCTTACTCTGTCCTCAAGCAGCTCTCAGCTTAGATACAGATAGATCGGGCACATCCCCTGTGTAGTCTCAGGTTTGACACAGGGCCCTTTTGCACGCGGCAGCACCCTCTGCCGGCAGCTGCCCAGTGCTCCGAGCAGCAGATCTGTGCCGAGTCCGGCAAACCGCACAAGTGTGTCACAGCATCCCCAGCTCTTTACAAAGCAAGGAACAAAACCAAAGTTAGGGAGTTATAGGTAAAAGCCATGGCAGAAGAGAGAAAAAGAGTATCTGATATGAAACACATTGCCATATCAGTGTTTTTGTTACAAGTACTAGTACTGCAACAATGACATGTTCAGTGGATTTGCTCCAGGTTTCTACTCCAAATCCAGTAACGTTGTTCAAAAAGTAGCAGTATCTATCATTCTATTTCATGCTGTTTGCTTAGCTCTGGTAATCAGTGACTGTGCAACCCTGGCATTTATTATAATCATGTTTGCGATGAAAAAGTTTCTGAGAAAACTTGTAAAGTGATTACTACATATATTTCTTAGGATGTTAGAGAACAAAACATTTTAAGGAAAAAAGAGGTTCCCTAATATTTTTGTGAATAGAGTTATCCATTTACGAAGTAAACAGTGAAGTAAACATGCACAAGTTACTTCATGAATTGCACTAGTTATATCCTTTGCAAAGACTCACATTTTATTTCTGCGTGGAACATGTCCAGACCTGAAATCCATTCATTGTATCTCACGCAGCCTTTGCTGTATATGTTAAACAGCTTTCTAAAATGAAATGTCTTCTCCCACAGGGAGTTCTTGCATGTGCTATTTTGACTTTTTATATATATATATATATACACACACATATATACATATATATAAAAACATGTACCCACATTTATATATACATATATGTATATATATGTACACACATCTTTATAAATTTTAAGTTTCTTAAAAGTTAAATTTACATACAGTTATGCAGTTTGTGGAGCAAAGACCATTTCTGTTGTCTCATTTTCTCATTACAGAGCATTCTGGGAAGCTTGTGAAAGAAGAATGCTATCTTACTGTATTGTTAGATATTTAGATACTATGTTTAGAAACATTTTAAACCCTTAAAGGCCTTATTTGTATCATTCTCCTTCCAGGTATGACCTACTCTTACTCAGTTTTTCATTGTCTTCCAAATTGTTCTCTGCTAATCCATTGTCCATTGTTTCTTTCTGTTGTTAAACACTTTCCTAAATGCTTTACAAGCATATGCCTGCATTATTCCAACTTTGCACTCTATGAACAACAAAATTCTTCATATACATGATTCTTAGCTGTGCATAAAACTCTTCAGATTTCCTGTTTTCCTGCTTTTGTTAGGCATGAAAAGCTCAAATTGTCTTTTCAAGTCCAAAATAAACCTTTAGAGAAGTGCAGGCTGGAGAACAAGGAGGAACTGCCCTAAAACAAACAAGCAAGCAACAAACAGCAAACTTCCTGACTTTAAAAGTGTAATTTGCATGGAACTACATTTAACTTTAAATTCCAAGCAAACGGCCTAGAAACCTTAACGGATTCCTGTTCTGGCAGAGATACTTGAACTTGCACCACTCAGTTGGCATCTGTATTGCTGTTTCCATTTCCACTGAGTAATTGTCTGAATGGCTAGGTCTGGCAATACTAAGTTTCTTCCAGAATGCGCCCCAGGAATTGCCTGCAACACTGCAGTGGAGGTCAGAAGGGACTGTGTGACAAACAGTCTCTCCCTCTGTTTCCTTCTCCATTTTCTTCTTATTATTTGTTTTACATCAGGAACTTTCATGACACATCAATCTGCAAAGTTTATTCCAAGATTTTGAGGATAATGTCCAGCTATTCGTACATTTGAACCAGCTGAGGATAATGTCCAGCTATTCATACATTTGAACCAGCCTGATTTTCTTTATCTAGGAATGTACAAAATTGGTTGTGCCTAAAATCCTGGCCTATCTTTGAAAACTGGTTTTCAGAAAAAAGCACTGAAGATTGTACAATCGCAGAACTTTGTAAAACGTTTCATGTCTTTAGTAAGAATGATCCAAATGTTACTTCTCACATCTCCGTGGCCATATAGGAAATTACGAAAGAGGAATATCTTTCCTGTTTTCTCTGAGTGGGTTAGTCTGAAAGGTGCAGGTTAATGTTCCATACTTTGCACCCTAATGACCAACCCATGTGTGAGTTCAGTGACCAGGGCATGTCTAGCTCAAGACTGTTCATGTCATAGTTTGCAGGTTCATGTAAACATTCTTGGCATGCAAAGACACTTTTGCATGACCACATGTGATCCTGTGGAAACATATCCACTATTTTTTGCCTAGCCAAAGGAAAAACAGAAACAAGGTCCTGACAGATCAACTGTCAAGAATGTGCTCCATTCCAGAAAACCAAAGGAGGCAAAAAGATATTTAACAGAATCTATACCTGGCTTGCAAGTTTGTGATGTTCTCCCTTCATACACTTTCACCCTAACAACATCCTGTTCTCAAGTGTGGAGAGCTTCCTAAACTTGGGAGAAAATAAAACACGGTCCGGAAAGGAAGCTTTATCACCAGTTAGTGTTGCGCCTCAACAAAAAGTGGCTGCTGAAAAAAAACGAGTCTAGCTATTTCTGTTCTGTTATTCTTTTAAGTACTTGTCCTAGCTTTGCTTTGTGGTTTGCACTCATGTAAATCTATTCCTTTCTCTAGGGAATCAAATCTAATACATAAAAAAGGACCAAAGTTATAGCAACTTATTTTTCTGTGGTCTGGGATTGTTTGTTAGAGAAAGCCTGTGAAAAGTTGGGCTAAAAATGTCAACTATGTGCTATATGTTATGATCTAGAGGAAGGTGTGCAGCTGTGCTCTGTACCTGGAGGGTAAAAGGGTTCTCATGCATAGATGCAATGGCAGAAGTGTTGGGCACTTTGCATTACTGCAGGCATCTCCAGCTGTTCCCAGGAAGGGTATTTTTGTGGCAAAACTTGGGAGCCTGTGTAATTTCATCCTGTCAGCACAAAGGTCCAGAAGGCCCCAGCTCCCAAGCTGCACCACAGGATGGAACATGCTATTGATGCTGTCTTGATTTGAAAACTATCTATTTGAGCCAAGTAGAAGAAGAAACTGTTCCAAAGGGCAGTCAAAAAGAGAAAGTTACTTAAATTCAAAGCATATGCCACAGGATTAAGGAAGTTTACTAGACAGGTTTTAAACTACTCATTTATGTGGTCTTTCAAGAATGTATCAAGATTGGAATGTGAAATAGGAGAACTAAGTGGTGAAATGTGCCACATATTTTCTGCATTTCATTCTGTTGACATAAAGAACAGTGGTGATGTGTAACATGGTAAGAAATAACACTTTCACCAGGCAATTCTGCAAGCTGGGCCAGCTCCTGGGGAAACACCAAGGGAGTATTGCCTGGCTTGCTCCCATCCACAGGCTCAGGCTGCACCTCACACTTGTCTTCAGCTGGCACGAT